CCAACGATATCTCCTTCGCTGCTTCACGTGAAGAGGTCTCGTACGTGAGGCTTCTCCGAAAATGTACTAGAGAATATTTCTCGGTCGGCTTGTAAATATACATCAATTAGGAGATCTTTCTTGTTTTTGATATCATCGATCAATCTCTTTCTTTATAGAGAAAGCTTATCAAATTTTGGTGTAAACACAGGCCCCCCTAGTTCGGAGTATGAATTTTTTATGCTTTGAACTATTTCGATCCGATGGTCTTCTTTTCCTCAGCCGATGACATCTGATCGCAATTACTGAAAGCTGCATCGGCTCCATCTTCTTTTTGATCTTGATAACTCTAAAATTAATCTTTCCCTACATCTCCGTCCATCTGCTTTAGCCGATTAGGAGTTGAAACACCCCCCCCCGAGTCTATAATTATAATCGGCTATCTTAAGGCAATAATCATGAACATCGGCCTCTTCCCTGCTATTGTCCATTAAGTATCTGTATATGTGACTAGCCGAAGAATATCATGCCAAATCGATTGCACAAATATGAACTATCAGCTAGCAACAACCTCGATCATAGCAACACAAGTTAACCGACATTATGAAAATATGCTCAGGTATTCTAGCCGATAGTCTTCTTTCAAGGAGCCGAGGAATTCACTGGCAACAATATTACCTTATTCCAAACCTTACCTACACATGTGAACTTTGAAGTGTCTACCACACCATGTTGGGTGGTTGAGGAATGGAACGGATTAAAATCCAGTCATCCTTGCTTCTCCTGTTCAGAAAACTTGGGTTTTTGAAAGATTTTTAAATTAAAACATAGCTTTGCTCCTCAAATGATTCTCTTAGATCGCTCAATATGAATAGTTCCTTACCAAGGCATTGTTTTGCCTCTTTTCATCCTACTTCTAAAAAGTCTATGTGGAGTTCATGTAGGAATAAATATGCAACAAACTTACCTTGTATATATTGTAAAATCAAATCTCGGATCTAAAGAGAGAAGTGTCATACTCTTAGATCAAGATGTGCATGTGTGTGGAATATTTGGTGGCTAATTTAATTCTACTATGCTCTTTGAAACATATTTCTCTCTTTGTGAAATATTTTTCGAGTACATGGGCTATCTTTATTTCTCATCTTTTTTCTCTTTTTTTTACTTTGGACATCTTTTGTCCATTTTTTTTAAATTATACCTTTGCATAACCCATGTCTCTTTTGCAACAAACTTTTTGAGAGAAATATTATCAAAAACTTGAAGCATTTATTTTGATAATCCTAACAAAATTTTTTTTGCCTTCTCCCACTGTAGAAACAGAACATTTTGGGGTGGACGAAAAGTATGTTTTTGCATACTTTTAGTGTAGAAGCAGCACATATATGTGGCGTGTAAGTAATCTTGATCTTGGGAGCATGATAAATCTCTCAACAAGGGTCAACAAAACTTGACAAAACTCAACACAAAGTAAGCAGCTTATGTGGAAGGTTTTAATGATAACATATGGCCTTGGTGGGAAGCTCAATATCATCGAGGAGACAAGCTATTGATTTTGAATTTTTTGTAAGAAATTTTCTCAAGTACTTTGCAAAAACAAGCGAGGTTCCTTTTATCATACCATATCTCATTCATCAACTACTTAAATAGTATGATTTTCTTATGATAAATTGTTCATAAGTGATAGAAAAAGTAAGGAATAAAGAATATACGAGCCAAGCATAGAGGGACATGTACCTCGTATGTGTATGTACGTTCCTCCACTTTAAGCCGATAGTGTCTCTGCTTGGGACTTATATAATGATGCTTTCATCGGTGTGCTTATCAGCTTGATCCTTGTATGCTTCTGCAGTGCTGCTATTTGGAGAACTGCACTTCATATATCGTGCTTCAAGAGAGCCGATCTCTATGCGCCAGAATCGATCCGTTGGACTTCTCTGAGCAGAATACGTAGCTAACTCCGGCTCCCACACGATAACGCGTAGCAGGTAGCAACAACGATTGGATCCTCAACAGCGCATGGCAATCCAAACACTGGCCGATTACTTTAATCAAGCAAAATGCATACGAATTCTTCCACGAGCCAAATTCTTAGATCAACAGATGAATTCCAATCAACAGTCTCCGGCAAACGTCAAGGGAAGAGTATACCCATGCTAGTACGATCGGCCTGTGCGGCGGCAACAAGAATAATTAGAGCCGAAATCTTCGTTGATCGGCTATTATCTTTAGTGGCTCAACTCCTTCGCCATGAGCTTGAGCACTTGGTATGTAACTTTTACTGCTCAAAACTATTTAGCCGACGGTGGAAAAGAATATCTCAGCTTATCGGTTGTTTACTTCTGTCACTTAGCTTTCCACAGTCATGTCAATGTCATCGGTTGAATTTCAATAACCACTGTCGTTAGTTGAATTTCAATAACCACTTCCACTGACTCGTGCGTCTCCTGGCTATTATTTTGACCTTTGTACACTTTGCCAAGCAAGCAGGAAATAATGATGTACTGGATCATCGGAATTTTCTGGATCAGCTGGAAGTCGCTGGATGCCACGTGCCGACGATGACATGGCCTGCAGTTCTTTCAACAATTGATGCGGACGCAGCTGTAATCAGCGCTCCAGTTTCCCAGGCCCACACGAACAGAAGATGATGACGAAACTGCAGCCCCATGTTCTCTTGGTGATGGCGAGGCAACACCTGGTGTCCTCGGTGCCATCGTGGCAGCAACTGCAGTACATAAACCATCACGCGTAAAGATGGCAACGGGCCCTGATATCTCGTATCCGACGGGTATTTGATCCATTAGAAAATAGGGATGAAATTATATCTTTACCCATGGGCATCTAAATGGGTAAGAATCCATCTCCGATGGGTATAGCGAGTACGGGAACGTTCCCTGTTTACCCGTCCCCGTTACCCGTTGGGGAACCCGACTATTTGAGCTGTCATGCGAGTATTAGGCCCAAAGAAACTCAACATAGGTATTTTGGCCCAAATCTGAACAATCATATATATAGTTTGTGTGTTCTAGGAACCCTAGTTCAATTTTTCCTCACCATCTCCGCCAGCAGCACAAGCACGTCTGCCTCACGAGCGCTCGTGCCCCTCGCTTCCTCAGTTCGGTCTCTCTGCCACCTTTGCTCGTCCTCCTCGCAGCCTCACTCATTCTCCTCGGCATCTTCGAGACTCCGACACTTATACCCGGGTGAAAAAGAAACGTCTCCGATTGTAAAGCTACGACCTCAAGTGTCCTTGTTTATCGAGTATGCAGTACCCGTCGGGTATCTGTTACCCGACCGATGACCGACGGGTACGGGGATGGACAAGAATCTATATTCGAGACAGTTAACGGGACGGGGACGGGATGAATTCTCCGTAGCGGGGAAGAGAACGTTCCGGCGATAACCGACGGGTACATCCCGTTGCCATCCAGATTCACGCGTCGGCAACGTGTCAACTTCTGCTATATCATTAGGACCTGCTAACACGTATGTGATAGGAACCGAATTTCCTAAAAACGGCAATCTGGTGTACCAGCCGTCTTATTATGTCAGTATCATGCAAATTTTCACCCGTACTTGCTCCAACTCCTCCATGTTCCTTCATTGGCTGCGTGGCCTAGCCGATCGGCTGCAAACTCCATTGATTTTTGAACAATTTTCGCCGATCATTCTATCTATCCTACCATGGGTTACATGCGTGACTTTCGGATGGATGATGGAAAAACCGATTGATACACCTTACTGGGTGCTCTGGTTGCATCCATCGGCTGGTTTGTCCCTATAGGCTGTGGTCAGGACATCTGTCGTAGTCATGGGCTAGCCACGCTAACTGCTGTTTGCCAGGATTTTTCAGTAACTCGCTAAACCATGTCTCTTAGCCTTATAGCGTACGTATTTGGGCACCTCCTGGTGATCGAACTGACTCCTTCTTACTTCACAATAAGCTAACTTCATCAGCTCTATTGGTCCATTGCTTTCCAACTCACCATTAGCTTCCAATAAAATCAGCCGATTTAACTTCAAGAGCTCCATCGGCTTGCCATCACAAAGGAAAAAAAATAGGCCCAGCATGTAGCTACTCGTCGCGTCATAATCCAGACTCCTCCACGTCCTTTTCTCAAGGATCGGAGTAGAGATAGAGATATATTGAGAAAAAAGAATGGTATATTAGCAAAAGAGAAAAAAAGGTGTATTGAGAACTGAGAATATCAAGTATTTTGGGATAAAATTTAAATTCTATAAGGTCATCAATTTTGAGACGGAGAGAGCATGTTTATTGTTCTTTTTTTATTAATGTGAAAAACTTTAGACCCTCCACGATGAATGTGCCGCCTCTTTTTAATACTCTTTTAATAAGATAATATATAGATAGATGACGTAATTCTTGAGCACGAGGAGAGACTTGGCCTTGGCCGTGTCTTTAGGACACTCGGTCAACGCATTAGGTCTTGATGTTGCTATATACGCAATGGTATCAGTTCCCTGACAAGGATGCTAATGTTGCTCAAACTTTGCATCAGTTCCCTGATGAGCCATATGCCTATATATCACTGTCTTCGATTATTCAGATATAAGATAGCTCGAGATAGATGTTCATTTCTTCTATTTTCAACGCCCCGTGGCCGTGTGGTCGATCCATGAAAGCATCTAGGAAGTATGACTGGTCACACGAAATGATGCACTTGATTACACGAAGATGACAGCCGGTAGCTAGCTGCTGGCCTAGTGCATGCAGCTTTCGCGTCAAGCTTTTTAGTAGCACCAACAAGGGCATGCCAATTGCACTAATTCCATTGCGACATTGCACTCACCATCCACTTCTGAAGATAGTCAAGAAAGTTGTCGAGCAATTGACACGAGGCCAAAATTATAGAAACAAAATGCTAGTAACAAAATGGTCTATAAATAGGTCATCCAGCACGGTCAGGTTGTCCAGCAACATGGGCGATTGGTCCGTTCGTATCCAGGTATCGTCATCTCCCGCCGAGACTCGACACGTCGCCAGACTAAGACGCACCATGGCCAAGCACAGCTATTTGGTTCGTGTCCTAGCACTGCTCGTCGCGGGCTACACGGCGGCGCTAGCCTCGGCCACGACGACGACGTTCATCGTCGGTGACGACCAGGGCTGGACGATGACCGGCGTGGACTACACCGATTGGGTCAAAGGAAAGACATTCGCGATCGGAGACAAACTAGGTGAGTCGTCTGCTCTGCTCTGCTCTCTTCATGCATGGTTCAACGCATCGCCTGCACTGCAGCTGCTGCACACGGCCGGATTATTGGCACGTCGTGGCAAATAATCGCAGTGTTCAACTACCCGAGAAAGGAGCACACGGTGACGGAGGTGGGCAAGACCGACTACTTCGCCTGCGCCGGAGGCAGCGCGCTGAGCAACGACCGCAGCGGATCGATCAACATCACGCTCACGGCGCCCGGCACGCGCTACTTCATCTGCAACATCCCAGGCCACTGCACCGCTGGCATGAGGCTCGCGGTCACGGTCGCCGCCGGGGGTGGCTCGCCCCCGGGAGCCACGCCGACTGGCGACGCCGCGGGCGCCTCGGTTCGGCCGGCAATGGGCTCCTTCGTCGTCAAGGCGATCGCGTGGGCTATGATCAAGCTCGCGCTGTCCTGATGAGTGATGGGTGACGATGGCCGCGCGATTGGCAGTGACTGACTCACTGTACGTCGTCTCACGGTTCATGGCTATTGTACTCCGTAATTGGCCAGGTTTTGATACGTTTTCCGGCGATTGTTCGTCGTGCACCTCATGTACGTCCGTGCCCATGCAGAGTTTCCGTTTACTCGTGCCTGCTCTTTACGTCTCTTTGGTTCGTTTGTGATTTGAGAATCTATATATATCTCACGGTACTCGTTGACGCTAAATCCATCAGCACACGATTAAGGGCTAGATTACCCGAGCCACACATGGCAGCGGAGGTAGATCTAAACGGTGAGACCAGCCACCCGTTGCTAGTTCCTTACCAAAAAGACCCACAAACGTCTCTTGAAAGACACATCGGGGAGACGTATAACGGTCATGAGCGGGAGTGCCCCAGAACCCGTAAGGCACCTAGGACGCTGGCAAATCTCATGGACATGAAGAGGGGTGGAAGAGCTTATAGTAGAAGATAAAAATAAGATAGATTGATTTTTTGACGTCTGGATAAATAAATCTCAAAATTGATTGATCCTCTCATATAGATAGAGGGAGTGGGTCTTATCTCAGTAGTAAACTTATTCCATACATAATCTATAATTAAGTTTCCCACAAGGTCAAAGGAGTTTTCAACAAGAAAACCATGATTTAGTCTCAAACTTTTAAAACCGGCTCATCAGGATGGTTCCAAAACCGGCTTGAACCGGTTTGTATAGGCTTCACACGACTTCTCTGCCAAAATCGGTCTGGGCGAGTTTGGCCTGCCTTCAGACTTCCTCTATCGAAACCTCGCTGTACCGATTGTTACTAATTTTTACCGATTTGCTCTAAATCAATCCAAAATTTGACCATTTTATTGCACGTCATTTTTCACTCTAGTTTTAACCCTTCCGATCATATTTTATCTGTCAACATTATATTACTAGTTGGAGACACCAAAGAAGACCACATGTTAATTCTCACGAGACTAGCTAAGGAAAAAAAAGATAAATTCTAAAAATCTCATAATAATTAGAAATATCTAACCTTTAATTTATAAAACTCTAATCACTATCGTCAATAATAATCATCGGATTTATTCTATTTTCTAAAAAAAAATACACATCTTATAAAAAATTACATAAAGTAATTATATTAATTTGCATCTAAATTACCCACAATTATTATTATAAAATATAAATCAATATAACTCTCTAAAATTACATATAAATTACCCACTTTAGCCACCAAAAACAATTTAAAACAACCACTTGTATCAAAATTATCCACCCATAAAATTGCCAGCACCCATCCCGCTGGCCTCCACGTGCCTTCGACTTTGGCAGGTGCAGTGACAACCTTGGTAGGATGTGAAGCATATAAGAGCAAGATCAATATTAAAGCCAAGTAATTGCCTATAAATCAAGTTGAAGAGTTAAGTTATATAATAATTGTCTTCTATTTGCCTATAATTTTTATTATTATTGCACATGCTACTATTTTTCTCATGTCTCACATTCACCTTCCTATTCTTCCTCAATCCACTTGTATCTGGGCCCACCACTATATAGGCTACTGTGTTTAGCTTGTTGCTTGCATGTGAGAGTCAAGCTCTCCTCAGTCTTCTCCCTTCTCTCCTTCACGTCAACAAAAAAAATACTGACAAACTTGGTTATATAAGGGCTATAGACGTGACCAGAGCAATGAGTTAGGGAGAATAACAATGGTAGGTAATGACAACGCGACATCGTTTTATTGTAGGGAGGTGTGTCCATAGCTGGTTCTTCTTGTAGTATTTTTGTCTGTAGCAATAATTATGGGGTATTAATGCGGATGAAACTAATCTCTCCGTCTACAAAAAAGAATGTAATTATGGGATCCGTGCTAGTCAACTTTGCTCAACTTTGACTAAGTTTATAGTAAATAGTATTAATATTTACGTCTTCAAATAAATTCATGATGAAAATATATTCTATAATTAATCTAATGATACTTATTTTGTATAAAAAATGTTAGTACTTTTTAATATAACTTCAGTCAAAGTTCAAATTGATTGACTCCTCAATAAGTGAGTATTGCATTCTTTTGTAGATGGAGGGAGTAGATGGTAGCACATGGGACAATGATTGTATATAGGTTTGAAACCTCGTGATAAGGTATCACCTACGACCTGTGTTTGTGGTTGTCTTCCTTATGCTTGGTATATGAGATGTACCAATCAGAGGGCTCCTTACCGTAGGGTTCAAAATTTCATGAATTTCGGTGGTGGCCAAAAGAAAAATCCAAAATTTATAATACACTAATACATGTGCTATGAAAGCATCTAGGCCCCTAGTTGGGTTTCGGTGATTAATGACAATACAAGATTACTATGACTAACGTGTGTTTTGCAGAGGCAATTAAGTTAGGTCATGGTAATGGAAATCGATTGGGCAATCGAGGTGGTCATGCCCCTACGATGGAAATCGTTTCGATTTTCAAAGGATGGACGACAAGGTTAAGGATGACTAGTTCTAAGTGTCGATTGGAGTTGGAGCAACACTTAGAGTAGTTTAGGACTTTATTTTTTTCCTTTGGCCGTACTATTAAGGGGGGTATGAATGGGTAGCTTGACCTAGATGAGTCTAGTGAGTTAGGTGTGGTGCACACTTGTTTAAACTAGCTCTAGGTAGCTCCTACAAATGCCTAAGATCTAATGGAGCAAACTTCATTCACTCATGATTGAGAGTTGAAGGTGAATGGAGGGTCAAATACTGACCGGATGCTGGCTCCGGTGCGATCGGACGCTGGCCGCAGGGTCCGATCAGTTTATTTGATCAAGAGATTGTGTTCGGTGCGACCGGACGCTGGAGTGGTCAAGTGACCGGACGCTGAAAGGCAGCGTCCGGTCAACTCCAGTAAGGTTCCAGAGAAGGGAATCTTTGACCGGACGTGTCCGGTCAGTGATGATCGGACCTTGAGGGTTCGTCGTCCGGTCGAGTACAGTAAGGTTCCAGTAAGGGTTTAATGCGACCGGATGCGTCCGGTCAGGGGTGACCGGACCCTGCCAGCATCCGGTCAGCACTTTTTCACTGGTTTGCAGGTTGAACTGACCGGAGCGTCCGGTCACCCCGCAGAGGCACATAACGGTTCGTTTTTCAGGCTGCCTTATAAATAGAACCTCCACTCGCGTGTGAAGTCACTTTTGCTCATTTCAACAGCTGAGAAACACGTTTGTGAGTGCCAAGAAGAGCAAGGTCCTAGTGAGGTGATTGAGATTTGAGAATCCAAGAGAGTAGCCTCATTAGTGAATCAAGAGTAGATAAGTGTGCATCCATCTTCTCATTAGGCTTTGCATGGTCAAGTGAGAGTTCGTGCTTGTTACTCTTAGTGATCGCCATCACCTAGACGGCTTGGTGGTGATTGGGAGCTTGGTGATCACCCGGCGGAGCTTGTGGGTGACCCAACTCAAGTTATGAGCGGCTTTGGGTGATTCACCGCGACGAAGTGTCGAAGAATCAACCCGTAGAGAGCACTTGATCCTTGCGCGGATCAAGGGGGAGCTACACCCTTGCGTGGGTGCTCTAACAAGGACTAGTGGAGAGTGGCGACTCTCCGATACCTCGGCAAAACATCGCCACGTTCCTCTCTCTCTCCATTTACTTTAAGCATTTATTTTGAGCAATTCAATACTTGTCTTTACATTCATAGAATTGCCATGCTAGAGTAAGTTTGGAACATATGTTGCTAGTCCGTTGTGCGTTAGTTTATTAGAAACACTTTTCAAGGCACAAGGGGTTAATTCGGCTAACCGTAGGATTTAATTATTGCAAGAAAATTTAGAATTAGCCCAATTCACCCCCCCCCCTCTTGGGCATCTTGATCCTTTCAATTGTTATAGGAGCCTCGTGCTCACGTTTTTAAGCTTAATCGCTTAGAGCAAGATGTCTCACGGGGATGGACCTCCTCCTATCTTCGAGGGGGATGATTTTCTATATTGGAAAATTCGCATGGAGGCGTACCTAGAAGCTCTAGATATTGGAATACTTAGAGCCGCCTCTCATGGCTTCCCAAGACCTAGGAATCCCGCACAACTTTAAGGCGATGAAGTGAACTATGAAAAATGGAATGCAAAGGCTCGAAACACCATCTTTAGAGGCCTTTGCAAAGAAGTGTTCAACCGCGTAAGGAACCACAAAGACGCCCATGCACTATGGTCGGACGTTTGTGCGCTCCATGAGGGAACCAAGAGTGAGCGTGAGGAACGCTATCATCTTGTGATTAAAAAGCTAGATTCATTTGAGATGCTTCCCAAAGAATGTGCTAATGAGATGTATTCACGTTTGAATGTTCTTGTAGAGAAAGTTAATGGGCTTGGACTTACTCAAATGTCACCATCCGATGTTGTGAGAAAGATTTTGAGTGTCCTCCCCATTGACAAATATGGGCATATTGTGACCGTGCTACACCAAGGTGATCTTTCCACCGCTACACCAACACAAATCTTGGTAAAGATCAATGCTCATGAGATGTACATGCACATCACGCCACAAGATGTCTCATCCTCAAACAAGAAGAAAGACAAAGACTTAGCATTGAAAGCTAGCCAAGAGAAGGGCAAGGCAAGACTTGAGTATAAAAGCTCAAGTGAAGATGAAGTTGATGAAGAAAGTCTTGCTCTCATGGTGAAGAAGACCGCCAAGATGCTAAAGAAGCTAAACAAGAGTGGCATCAAGTTTGACGGCAAGAAGAAGAAGTTCTTCACTAGCTCAAGAAGAAAGCCAATCTCCGAGATGGATTGCTACAATTGTGGCGAATTTGGCCATCTAGCTCATCAATGCACAAAGCCCAAGAAAGACAAGTTTAAGAACAAGAACAAGGGCAAGAAAGATGACTCAAGTAATGAAGATGAAGATGAGAAGAAAAAGAACAAGCCATACAAGAAGAGAGATGGCAAGAAGAGGGACTTCTACAAGAAGAAGAAGAGTGGAAAGGCCTACATTGTCGGTGATTGGCTC